TCTTATGCATTGGATCAATATTAGCCAAGTGGCTATGCCTGAAATCTCATTGGTTGATCATAGTTTGGATCCATCTTATACACCTTGTGATTTTTTAATCACCTAATGGTTTTGCTCTATGAAACTTCCTTTGAGAAGAGAGATCACTGGCAATCCATTTTCAGGTCCCCTCCTGTCTCTCAGGAACTAGCTGTTTTTCTCAACAAATTTTTCCTATTCCTAATCTCTGTAGTAGAATTCATTCACTGATTTTGGAGAACACAAACTCAGCATATCTGACATTTAGCAGGTTGGTATTTACATTTATTTCCCTTGTATAAATTGGTTTTAAGTTTTGATAAGTAATCAATTTGTTACCTCTATTAGACCCCATTTTTCAATCATTCAGGAAGATCACCGAAGAAACAGAAAAAAGTCAAAAGAGGACCTTGTGAGAAACTGAAATAAGGACTCAAATGTAGCAAACAAGAGAGTAGACTCATGTCTCTGGTTAAGCAGATTGGTTGATGTTTCCTTTCTGAAAAGAAATGGGAGATCATCCAGTAGTTTACAGGTGTATGAAGTGTGTGGTCCCTCTTATTTAATTTTTGGTGTCTTGGTGATTTTGGTTTCACCCTAAGAGGTGACCCAAATATTTATTCCTGTATCTTAATGACAGAAGGAATGATTATTAGGATTGTATAAATGCCTTTCCATTTGGGTGTGAGTTGGTCTTGGGGTCCACCCTTGTCTTAGCTAATTTTCTCATTGCTGAGACAAAATACCCAACACTCATAAGTTAAGGCAGGAAAGGTGTTTTTTTTGTAGGGATTTCATTTCATAGGTGTCTGGCAGAGGGCCATCACAGAGGAGATACAGTCTATGTTGAAGCGAGCCAGGCAGAAGGAAGCGTGGGGGCATGCTATAAGCAAGCTACAAGGGACAAGTGGCCAAAAGTCTCTTTCCATCCCTTATATCCTGTATCCAGGCTATCTGCTCTTATGGCAGGTAGTACTCATATCTAGTGTGGGGCACTCTTAGTCTTACCCAAAATTATGCCAAACTAATCAGTAGACTAATTCAGTAATCACATGCATTTGATCCTAACATCATACTCTGTAAAGCCCTCACCTATGATCACATGAGGCTTTGAGGGAACATGAAGATACAAACTATAACAACCCTCTTTCTAGGTCTTTATCAAGACTTAATCACCAGAATAGCAATTAGGTTGATGATTATTGATAGTGCATGGGAATGGGAGAATCTTACTTCCATATTTTTATAAGTGCTGTTGGAAAGTTCGCCAATGGGTCACATGTTGAAGGAGCTGGGGAGTTTCAGTGTCAGTAAGGAGGTCATAATTCACAGAGGGTCTCCAGTAAAGCATCTCAAATGAGCTGAGGTTAAATTTAGATTTAGAGGGGCTGAGTATTTAGCTCAGCGGCATAAGCACCTGCCTTGCAAGCAGGCGATCGTGAGTTCAATTCCTGGTACCGATAAAAAGAGAAAAAAAATTAAAACAAAATTTAGATTTAGAGGTCACCCAAAGCCTCATTAAGGCAATTGGAAGGAGACCTCGCCCCTTACAGTGGGCTTCTTGACATAGCTTGGCTTGGGTCTGCTTGAGAGTTTCACTGACTCCCTTGACTCTCCTGATGATCGAGGTCTCCACACAGTGTGAAAATGGCACTCAATTCCTGACACTTTGACAACTCCCTGTGTGATGCAGGAGTTTTGTAAAGATTTATTATCACTCTGGGTGACCTCAGCAGCCCAAACCTAGAAATCACTTCTTCAAGGGGGACTTTTGTGACCTCCAAGGCCCGTTTTGATCTGGTGAGGAAGGCCTCTATCCACCCAGTAGAGGTGCCAGCGCACATCAAGAGGTGTATGTCCCCCTGCATGTGGACATGTGGAGAAGGTCTATTTGCCAGTCTTCTCTGGGGGAGCATCCACCCATTTGTACCAGTTCAGGCAAGTACTGGGAGGCAGGATGTGGAGTCTTAGTTACATTTCTGACTGCTGAAACTGAAATACTTGACATCCAAATTTAAAGGAGGAAAGATTTACTGTAGCTCACAGTTTATAGAGGTTTAAGTGTATAGTCAGCTGGCTCCAAGGCAGGGTGGCATGGAAGAAGGACACTGTAGAAGAGAAACAGTCCACGGCATGCCAAGGCAGGAAGAAGGCAGCAGGGCAGTAGCAGTGAGCCTGCCTTCTCTCTGTCCCCTCATATTCCATCTAGACTACAACAAGCATGTAGATGGTGCTAGCCATGCCCAAGGAGGGGCTTCTGTTACCCACGCTTTCAATCCCACAATTACACCCTTAATTCATATTCACATACGTAATCCAGTCACTTTCAAAGTCCCAATAATGAACACATGGACACATTGGGTGTCGTCTAGGTACCAGCTGTAATACACAAGGATGGAGAAGAAGGCACCTTTAAGATCAAGGGCAGAGAAACATTTAGTGTCTCCTGGGATCTGTGCTAAAAGGATATATCAGTCTGCGCCTCACTGAGTGAAAAGGTGTCACTGCCTCACTGATGGCTCTGGGATCGTGTACTAGGGATACTCTCTCAATGGGCTGACTATGGTAAAATGGGTGTATCACATAGGGACCGGTATAGCACCAGCAATCCCATAATCAAAAACTTAGAAATTAGAGGCTTTAGTACCCACCTAGCTTCTTTTTTAAGGTAATATAGATACTCCTTGTTTAATGACTTGCCTATGTAATGACTGTTTGCACTATTTAGATTTAGGAGCTGCCACTTGTCCTTACAACTTGTCTTTTTTTTTTTTTTTTAGTAGAGTTTTGTACATGTTTCTTTTTCCTTCTGCTTCTTCTTCTTCTTCTTCATCTTTTGTTATGCAGTTCAGTTTGGCCTTGAGCTCATGTTGTAGCCCAGGCTGATGTTGAACTTGCAACGATCCTCCTGCCTCAGCCTCCGAGTGCTGGGATTATAGATGTGTGCCACCACACCCAGTTATACATGTTTCTTTTTTATAGAGCCTCAATGCCTTTTTTGTCCAGTATACCTTGTTTATACAGTATAATTATTTTTGGTGATCATATTGTCCTTTTATGTTCTGTTATACATTACAGTGTTTACATGTTATGCAAATAAAAGCAAAGTCATCAAGAGGGAATTTCCTCAGGTCATTTCTCTGTTCTGAATATTTAGTGTACATGTTATATATGATTCCTCATTTAGTGACAAATTCATTTAATAAACTCAATGCAACTACCATCCTCAGTCATTAAGCAAGGGATGTCTGTACTGTCTTCTATGAGGGTATAAATGAGGGTCCTTTAAGTGACTACTGGAGTGACCTTCATCGCCCTCATGGAATGCTGTCATATCATGCTTGGAGATCAATTCCTGGCAGAGACATCAAGCCTGTGGGGTCAGATTGGCTGGGTTCCAGCAAGTAGGACACGTGTTGCAGTGATTTGAATGTTAGAGTGGCCCTGAGTATATTGCTTCCAATAGCTGGGAAGGGATACTCTCTACTATCACCATAAAGGCAGTTTGAAAAAAGGAAATCTCCGGAATAGCAGTTTAGAGTGAGGCTCAAGAAAGCTGCTCAGTTAACTTCTTCAAGGCCCACAACTTTAGGAAAACTTTAGAACAACTTTAGAACAGGATAAATGCTCACCCCAATAGAAGACTGGAATGGAATAAGTCATCCCAGTATTGGGATGTTTCTCTGTGACTTCTAGAGTCACCTGAGGCTGCTCACAGGTGATGGAAATGCAGGAAACCTGCAACCCACTCTGGGCACCATCAGTTGCTGTTTAAACAGTTTTTCCTGGCTCCCTTTCTCCTCTCTGAGAATGAAGGCCATCTCTCTTCCATTACCAAGGATATGGCATGGCCTCTCCTTGGCATGGTTTGCTGGCTTTAGAGAGCACTCTTTTGCCCAGTGTCCCAATTGCTTAAACTTGAAACATTCTGACTTGCGCCCCTTACTGTGTGGATTACTTGTTTGTGTTGGTGTTGCTGATTTGAGTCTTACCAGTTGGGTGAGCAAGACTTCAGCCTGCCTCTTTTCAATATTTAACTAATTTGTCTTCTACTTCCATATTGTTACTAAAGATCAAATAAGTCACATCAACAAACTGACTTATTTCTGCTTGTCAGCTCTATAGGAGTTTCTGAAACTTCTCCTAATATCTGGAGCTGACTGACTAATAAGATACTGCTCTAGAATAATCTGACTTTGTCTAGACTGTAGGTCTAAATTGATATATTTATGGAGTGCCTCTTCAAGCTACAGCTGAAAAGCAACTGTATTTTCATCAGATTCTTGTTGCATAGCAGCTAAAACAGCTTTGATGTAGAACTTTCACTTGACTTCTCCACCCTCTGTGCTGCAATCCCATTTGGACTCCTCTTGCGACCCCCGTAACACAGCAACTGGCTGATTATCAGAGGGTGAAGTTGCAAAGAGTTCACCATTGGCCTGCTCAGCAGTATTTATAACCCTTTTCCTTGCTGGCAGCAAGCACCAGGATGAACTGCATATCCAGCCAAGTGAGATCAAAAGTTATTGTTAGGGTATCGAAACGTTATCAATCTTTCAGCACCCTCAGTGTATCTACCCGATTTTTCTTACATTGCTGAATATTCATAACTGCAAATGGAACTTGAATGGGACCATTAGCACCTGCCACTCCTTGAAGGAGTATGTCAGTGGATAGCTTAGAGATTGAGTTCCCTTAATCTGGAGACTTGTTTGAGGTAGACCTACACCTGATTTGGGGTGCGCTTTGCAGATGACCTTTATCTCCTGAGGGTTCTGACAGAGCAGGCTGGTGAGGAGCCTGTGGGGAGGAGAAGATGGTGAGAGGGGGTTCTCAGCAATATTAGCTCCTGAGGCAAGATTATTTTCTAAGGTAAAGATCAGGCCTCTGGTAAAGGGCTATAGGGGCTTGAATATAAGTCATTTCTGACCATTTTTCCTGTTTCTTAAAATAAAGAAAGAATATGCCGTTTTAGCCTGCCAAAGGGTGGTTGCATTTTTTATTTCCCCCATGTTGATACATTGCCCGTTTTTTATTACACAAATATATAAGATGATCTTTCTGGACGACCTTGGAGTGAAATTGTTCCCTGTGGGTAAGAAGGCATCCAAGCAGGGAATCTGAAACAATAGAGAAGGCATTTCTTATGATGGGGCTGTAGATAAGAAGAAAAGAAATTGGGTTGCAGGATCCCTACAGACTGTCCCTGGGTTAGTTGCCAGCCCATTAGTGGAAGATATTACAGGGTCTCTCTCTGGGGCATCCTAGGCCTTTTAGTCCCACTGTGGGACCTGATAAGGCATGAGGGACGCTAGCAGGCCTATCCCTGGACTAGCCCCCAACCCATCACTACATATTACAGGGCATCCATCTCCTAGTGGACCCCATTTGTTCAGCCCTGGGGTATGACCTGATATGCCCAAATTCCTTGGGATTAGGTCATAGGCCTTATAGAGCCTTTTTCCTGGGTCACTTTCCACATGAGAGCCCTAAAAGGCATTCTCGAGTTCTGTGATCCTCTGTAGCTCTCATGTTAAGGTTTTCACTAGTAGAGCTGAACCCCTTGGTGAGTGAACCACTCCATCCTTAAGTGAATACTAGTGCCTTTCAAGCTATGGATTTCCCTCTATAAGTACAACTCATCTTCTAGTTAAAAAGCCTGAAACTGGGACACTTTACCAGCTGGACGCCTCTTAGTCAATTACAAAACTATCTAACATCCTGCCTAGGGAGGGGAGGCAAGCACTTTACTACATAAAACCTCAAACCCCAAATTATCAAGTTATCCATGGATGTGGCTCTCAGTCTGGCTGAGAAACAGAAACTTGCACAGATGATATTCTACTTCCTGCAAGTCTAAGAACAAGCAATAAAATATTTTTCCTGAAAAGTACTCATCTTACTACATCAAGTTGCAAAGCATGTGTATCTGGTGACAGAACCTCAAAATAAAAACCAGGCACGATGAAACTTCAGGGAGCAAATACAGGTTACACGTCTTTTTACACAAAGACATAAACTTGAAGTCACAGTTAGTAATGACAGAAGCCAAACCAAGTAGCATGGGGAGCAAGGAGTAGCACTGGTGAAATAAGCCCAGGAAGAGACAGCTATATTAAGGCTTTAGGACCCAGAAGAGTCAACTCAGCTAGAGCCTCCTCTGTTGCCTCTCTCAGTTACTGCTTCTGCTGGTATGGAAACTTAAAATGCACAAATTTCTATCTTTTACAGTGCTGCATGAGGAAGCACTGTAATTTCCAACATCTTGCTCCTCTGCATTATTCAGCACCAGAAATCTAGATAGAATTACGCAGTAGACAAAAGGTTGAGTGGGGTGAGTGTGGGGGTGAAGAAGGGAACCAGGGTTTCCTCAAGAGTTGGGGAAGGAAAGTAAACCCTGAAGAGCTTGTGTGATCCTGTAAGTTGTGGCCTCCTTCAAATACCTTTGGCTCTGGGGTGTGGCTACTCTACTGTACATGGTGCCGGCCATGCTGCCAATTGCACCCCACAGAAATCAACAACATCAGGTGGGCCAGGCCCAGGTTCCCCAGTCATCCTAGAAACTTCAAGAAAGCCACCTGGAGGACTCGGCCCAGGTCCAGGTCTCCTGACTCCAGCTCTCCTTTTGCTCAGCTATGTCTGTGTTGAAACCGAGGGAACCAAAGCTACTGAGAGCAGACCCATGTATTGTGAGGACCCTCAGTAAAATATGAACCCAACTGGTCCACAGGAGCCATCCTGTTCCCTGCAAAGGACAAAGCCTTTCTCTCTGCAATCTGATCTCTCCAGTGACAAAATTTGCTGTTTGTCCTGAAAATCTGTCCCATATACCCAAACAGCACCCTGAGTCACCTGTCAGAGGGAGATGAGGGAAGGTATGTCTGTATCTTCCTTTTTGACTGGGCTCCATGAATGTCAACATCGGCTGAAATCTTTTGAGATCTGTTGATGTCTGGAGAGGACTGCAGATGTTTCCAATATCTCCAGGTTTTGCTTTCCAAATGTTAGTCCATCATGGATCCAACAGACATATTCCAAGCTCTTGGGCAGGCCAAGCAAAGAATTGCAAAGCATACACCTGAAAATAAAGAAAAGCAGTTACCTTTATTGAAGATCATGAGCAAAGAAGTGGTACCAGGATAACAGAAAACGCACACAGCATGCTACAGACAAATAGGGCTTTGGTGTTCCTGTGCCTTTGCATGCACATAACAGAAAGAGGGAGGAAAGGGGGTGGGGGGAGAGAGACACAGATAGACAGAGACAGAGAGAGAGAGAGAGAGAGAGAGAGAGAGAGAGAGAGAGAGAACCTATTCTACTTGTACTACTTCTGTCCCTTTTTTTTGTTGTTGTTTTATATAACCTCAGTATCGTGTCAGTATTTTTCCAAATTAATTATGTTTCAAATAGTTCTGAGACAGATTAGGCTGTGGCAAAGTTGACTGAAAAGCAGGCATGACCTATTAACTATAAGACCTTGGATTCATGGGCAGAACAGTTTCCAGTGCCCTGTGTCTTATGAAGACCAAAGCAGGATTTTGATAGGCTGGCCTAGATCTGGTCAGCCTGAAGAGTAGGCAATTCAGAAAGGACAGTGTACATTGAGTTTTTGCCATTATGTTCTCTTGTATGCTGGCTACCTTCACCACGGGTGTGCTTGTTTTCCTAATTTTACTTAGTGTCTTGGTTACTTTTCTCTCATTGCTGGAACAAAATACCCAACACTCAAAATGAAGAAAGGAAAGGTTTATTTCTTACAGTTCTTGGAGGTTTCAGTCCATACTCAGTTGGCTCCAAGGCAGCATGACATGGCGGGTTACCATTCATGGCCCACTGCAAACAGCAAGGTGCAACAGGAAAGAGACACACACCTTTTTCCCGCCATTACATCATATCCTGGCTCCACCCCTAAAGGGGTATAGCACTCACACCACCAATCCAAGCGCTAGACAGTGAACCAATCATAAATGCTAATTCATGAGGCTTGGGGGCCACCCACATAAACCATGACAATACCTAACATGCAAAATGAAGGAAGGAGGGATTTATTTCACTCACTGTTAGTGGAGGTTTCGGTCCATAATCAGCTGGCTGCAAGGCAAGGTGTCATAGCTAAGAGAAAACACTTCAAGTTAGCAGGCAGCAAAAGCGGCTGGAGCATAAAGGGGGCAGAGCAAACCTCTTTTTCTCCTTTATATTGTGCACAAGCCACCACCCCCCTCCAGGACAGGTGTAGCTCTCACAAAGTCTCCTTGCCTTCCTCTTGCACAGGATGAGGATATTTACAAAGAACCCTGACCCCCTGCTGAGTCCTTTAGTTAAACTTCTAAACTGCTCAAATTATATTGAGACAGGAGATTAGGGTGTGGCAATTGGCCAGAGAAGTAGGCTTAACCTGTTAATTACAAAATCCCAGGACACATGTGCAGAATATTTCCCAAAGCTCTACATGTGGACATCTTGTGAGAACCAGAGTAGGGGTTTGATCAGATTGCCCAGATGTGGTGTTAGCCTGAGGAACAGGTGATTCAAAAATGACAGCCCACACTGAATTTTTGCCGCTGTGCTCTTTCTCCCATAGTGACCTGCCCTAACGCTGCAATGTGCACTTTTTTTCCTACCTTTATTTGGTCTAGACTTGCTCTGCAGAGCCTGTTTTCCCCATCTTTAATACAATTTTGCCACTGTTTGTGCTTGTCTTGGCCAATTCTTTGTTCAGGACAGAAATAACCTAGGAAGCACCTGCAGCACACCCACGCCTGGTAACAGTTCTAGTCTCTAAGCTCTATAAAACACTTGAAATAAGTATCACAATAAGTATCACTGTCATAATTCACTTGGGAACAGATGGAAGAATTATAAATACCAATTATTAGCTAGCCTCAAAAGTCCAGAGACAGAAATTTAAAAAACTACTTTCTATTCAAACCTATATTTGGGTGCAAAACAGAGATTATTCATTTCAACAAAAATTACTTTCAAAATTTTACATTTCTTCACAGTGAACCTTTTGCATTTTTAAATTTTCACTTTTAGATTAAGTAGAAAGCACAGCAGCATAGCCAGAAAGACAGTAGTTTTAGAAGTAGATTTGGATTTAGACTGTGGCTGCATAAAGGCGAAGCTGTTGAGGGGGGACAAACTTCACCACACTTCTCTCTCCCTTTAGGTCTCTCCCTACTTCTTTGAGTGGATACCTTAAATTTCTGCCTAATAAACCCCTCTATGTCTCTTACCATGCATTTTTTATTTTAAAGGGAAAAATTAAAATAAAACAGTTTTGAACCAGGCTAATAGGAGAGTAACAATAATTAGTGTGCTGTGTATTGTTATCTTCATAGCAGCTACTCAAAATGTAAGATACAGGCATGAAATGTTGTCCAAGCAATATTAACACAAAAGCTTCTTTTCAATGAACTAAGAAAAACTAGTTGTATAACTGTCTTAACTATCTTGTGAGTATATATATATATATATATATATATATATATGTATGTATATTTTCCTTTTCCCTTCTTTCCTGTCTCTTTTCCCCCCAACATAATTTCTCTTTTCTTTTGAACAGTTTCTTCACAATTCACAATATCTATTGTACATTTTGGATCTTATTTACTCATTCAGTTTCTCACATTAGTGAAACAATACAATGTTTGAACATATGGGTCTGATTTATTTCACTGTTTCTTTTTGGTACCAGGAATCGAACTTATAACCTTATGCCTGCCAGGCAGGTGCTTGTGCCACTGAGCTAAATTCCTGTCCCTTGTTTATTTTGCTTATGAGTGTGGTCTTCAGTTGCATCCATTTACCTGTAAAAGTCTCAAGTTAATCTTTCTTTATGGCTGAGTAGTACTCTGCTCTATAAAAAGACCATATCTTTTCTACCCATTCCTAGGTTGATGGGCATGTGGGTTGTTTCCAAGATCTGGCTATTACAAATTATGCTGCTATAAACAGGGATGCACATCACTGTGGTCTCATGCTTTTAATTCTTCTAGGAAAATACCCAGAAGGGGAAAATAGCTGAGTAGAATGGGATCTCTAATCCTAGTTCTGAGGAATCTCCACACTGATTTCCATAGTGGTTGTGCCAGTCCACACTCCCACCAACAGTGGAAAAGGGCTCCTTTTTACCGCCAGCCTTGTCAGCGTTTGTCATTTGTTGATATCTTGATGTTAGCCATTCTTTCTGGGGAAACATGTTAGTTTAGTGTCGTTTTAATTTGCATTTCTTGAATGCAAATGACATTGAACAATTTTTCATATATTTATTTGCCATTTTCATTTCCTCATTTGAGAAGCATATATTTCTTTCAGATGCCTATTTTTTGGATTGGGTCTTTGAATTTGGGGGTCTTGATTTTTTCAGTTCTTTGTATGTTCTAGATATAAGTCCTTTGTTTAAAGGACAACTGGCTATAATTTTCTCCCCTCTGTGGGTTGCCTTTTCACTTGTTAATGATTTCTTTTGTTGTATAATCTTTTTGAGTAAAGTGAAATCTCATTTGTTGATTTTTTGGTGGTGTTTTCTGTGCAATCTGCGTTTTGGTCATGAAATCTCTGCCTACACCTATGTCTTTAAGATTTCTGCCTATTTTCTCTTCCTGTAGATTTAGTGATTCTGTTCTAATATTTAGATTTTTGATTTATTTTGATTTTAGTTTAGTACATGGGTCTAGTTTTAGTCTTTGGCATGTGGAAAACCAGTTTTTAAGCACCATTTATTAAAGAAACTACCTTTCTTCCAGTGAACTTGCTTGGCTCCTTTGTTAAAGATAAGGTGGCTGAGTGTGTTTGAAGTAGCATCTGTACCTTCTTTTCTGTTCCACTGATCCTCAGGTCTGTTTGTTTGCTTGCTTATTTATTTATTTTTGCCAATGCCATGCTGGTTTTGTCACAGTAGCTTTGTATTATAATTTCAGGTCAGGGATTGAGATGCCCTGTGACTTCCCTTTGTTGCCCAGAATTGCTGAAAATTCTTTTTCTGCAATGGACCTGCAAATCTATTCTATGGGAAGAGTGGGTTAGATTCATTATTTCAGCTTTAGAAATTTCTTTGGATGGTGATGCTGTTGTAAAAAAAAATGTTCATTTAGTTTATGAATGAGGAAATCAGCTAGGGGAAAGGCATGAGTTAGAGCAGGGTGATCCGCCACACTGATAAGAATTAAAACAAGACTAGGTGGTGAGCTAAGACTCTGAACCAAGGATTAACTTCATTAGGCAAGATAGCAAGGTAGGGCTCCTTGTTGAGCTCTTGTATTTCAAGGAATTTAAAATGCAAAATAACCAATTTTTCTCTAAAATCTGTTTCCTTTAAATTCTAAGAGCTGGGTAACTGGGTTACATAGCCTGAGTTCCAATGGGTCATTTTTACGACCTCTTGTAATAGGAGGCCACTCAATAACTGACCACTTTCTGTGCTCTGCTTATCCGTAAAATATTCTGGACTGAGGGGCCATGTGGACCTTCCCTTTTTAGACTCACTCCTGAGAAGCCAGGAGCTTTTATGTCTTTCTCCTTATTTCTCATAAAAACTCTTCTAACTTGCTTTTGGTTCATGACTTTATTCTGTGCTTTTTGTAAAGTTGTCAGCTTGATTTGTGCAGAATTCACTGTCTTACTGTGACCTGAATCAGGTTATTTAGCCTCTGGAGCATCACTGTCCTTCATTATGCTAATGGTCATATCTAGTCAAAGAATATTAAACAATGCCTGAAAATCCCAGTCACACATTGCATGTTCAATGTAACTGGAGATATTTGTATTTATGTTTCCATTTATATTTATACATATGTGTATGTGCACACACACTGAGAAATGCATAGATATTTAAAGATACTCTTACGCAAAATATATACTATATATATACACACACATAAGGCACACTTATATATATAAATATATACAGATGATATATAGTCATATATAACATATTTAAACATTTATTTATCTTATTTATTTATTATTTTGAAACAAGTTCTCACTACATTAAATGGCCACAAACTCAGAACGATCCTTTTGCCTCAGCCTCCCGAGAGCTGGGATTACAGACATGTACCACCACGTCCAACCAGATTTAAAGATATAGAGCTATAACAAAACAACAACAAAAATAAAGATATAGCGACACAGCTTCTTTATCCATCTTACCCTCAACAGCTACAACAAACATTCAGGCACAGGGTTAAAATGACTATGGAAAGGTAAGAAGAATCTTTTATCAAAGTTTGGTACAAGCCAGTCTATAAAAATAAGAAACACACAAGACACTGAATGCTGAATTACAAATAAAATGCCCAACATTGACTTTCCTGGTGTCATATTTAAGCACACGTAAGTGCCTGTGAGTGAGAAGTGACCCATCAGAAACCAGGCAGTCTGAATGAGGTCCTTGCCCTCTTGCCCCTGACAAATACAAAGGGGCACAAACAGCAGCAGCACAGCCTCACACAATACTGCCCAGTTTCTACTAAACATTAGATTACCACCCAGCACTGCACTGAGCTCTTCATAAAGCAATCTCATTTAATTCCACCATGACCCACGAGCTAAGTGTTGTTAGTATGCTTATTTGTAGGTGTTGAACCAAGCTCACAGGCTGAGTTGTCCGTGGTCTCTCACACACACACTTGGCTACATGGTCCCTGGTGAGTGGTGACAGCAGTTCTTGGGAGGGCTAAGAAGGGCGGACATAGTGCGCACTTCTACTTGAGCACCCAATATTACCCCTGGGATGCAATAGCATGAGGTTTCAAGGGGTGAGGAATCAATAAATGAATGAAAAGAAACACTGCCTCAAATGTTCATGCACTTTAACATCTGATCTTACTTCTTAAGAGAGATGTAGCATTTTTAGCCCGAATGTTCATTTGGGGCATTGTTATATCTAGGTATCCCCCCAAAGCCTCATGTGCTCGTAAGAGGGACTTTTGGGAGGCGTCAGGATTATGGGTGTGTGATACTACATTAGTCCACTGATGGGGTTTATAGCTGGGTTTACAGATGTTGGGAGGCAAAGCCAGATGGGAAGAGATGGTCACTGTGGGCATGGCCTGGCATTTATAGCCCTCTCTCTCCCACCATCCCTTCCTTCTTTTTGCCTGCCCTGCCATGAACTGCTTCCTCTCTGATCTCTGCTCTGTCTTGGAGCCAGTCAACTATGGACTGAAACCTCTGAAAACTGTGAATCAAAATAAACATTTCATTCTTTAATTTGTAGGTGTTGGAATTTTGTTCCAGCCATGAGAAAGTA